ACTAATATTATAAATGCGTTTGTACAGAAAATAATTGTAAATCGCTCTTTGACCTGTAATTTAAACATTACCAATAAATATTGTATTATATTGTTTGGATGGATGGATGATAGAAGGTATCCAGAACTGCATGGATCTCAATTAAATTTGGCATAAACATAATCTGGAAAAGACATAGGCTACTTATTAAGTTTTTTTATTCCGCGCAGAAGAAGTCGCGGGTGACAGTGTATCAATAAAATTAGTGATCTAGCTCATGCTATTAAATATACACACGTGTAACTGGAGAACTTTTTTTTATAACAGAAGGGGGCAGCGGGAACACCGAAATGTTCAACGATGCCCATGGACAATACCAGAGAAACCGCAGATACGTATGCCTTTGAGATGGTGATACGCTCGCTTCTTGAAGGACCCTAAGTCGTAGCGGTTTGGAAATACTTAGAACTTGTGTAATATGGTAGTAGTCAGTGCCTTATGTGCCTTTAACATGCAGTATTCGTAATTATTGCTTTATGTAACTTTTCAATGAATTAGATAATTCAGAATAGTATTCTTTTGTTTTAGGAAGAAATGAATAAACATATGTATTACTTTCACTTATTTTAGAATAGCTTTTAAAGTTTCCAAGTAAAGTGAGAGTTGGAAACGGTGTTGTTTAGATAACTATGCGCTTTACTTAACGCGTATTCTTTTGAACTTTGAACAAAGGGAGCATTGTTGGTGTCACTTTCGCACGATGTTTTTGTTTGTTGAAACTTATATCTTTATACTATGTGATTATGATAAAGAGAACAATTTCTCTTGCGGTGACCTAGATTTTAAAGTTAGAGAGCTGAAGTTGTAAAGTTATAGTAAAGACACTAACTTTACTAAGTTAGACTGATAAGTATCGTTTAAGTAACTAATATACAGGGTGTCCCAAAAGGTTACTAACATAGGAAGGGGGATGATAGGGGTGGTCACAAGGGTCACCAGAAACTTAAAATAAAAACTCCCCTCTGGGTATTAAAAAAAATAAATGGAATTTTTAGAAAATGTCATTTTATTCGTGTTCTATCGATAATCAAATCATATTTCCGTCTTATCTTCTATATTCTTTCGTCTACATAAACTTACGTCTATCATTCTATTAATAAAGACTATTGTTTTATTGACATCTATCATAATTCAAAATTGTCGACGCCAAAATTAAAATGTAAACACCGGTTGTTATTTTTTTGTTCTATTGTTATTTATGCGTCCTTTTATGGTTACGTCTCGATACAAAAACGTCACTCAAACTAAATGAATTGAACGTCGATGACCCATCAAAATACACCGTTAGAGAATCACAAGTATTAAGAAGTGATGCTTCCAAGAAATTTTACGCCGTGATATTCCCTGCTGGGTTGACGATAGGTTCATGCTTGAAAAATACTTTTATTTCTAAGTACTAGGTAAAATTGAGTACAGGACAGAATGTTTTTAAAATCTTGGTCTAACATTTCGTCAAAAAAAGTTACATCGACTTTATAACGTGTCCCGAATTTTTTTTTGTGTAAATGTTAAACTTGTATTTTTAACTCAATACTATATCAATAACTAGCTGTCGCCCGCGACTCCGTTCACGAATGAAAAAAATGTAAATAGTAGCCTATGTGTTCTTACAGACTATGCTCTACATCTGTTTCGAATTTCAGCGAGGTCCGCTCAGCCATTCCAGAGATACCTTCAAACAAATATCCATCCATCCATCCATCAAAACATTCGAATTTATAATATTAGTAAGATTTAATTCGTTTCGAAATTAATTTATCTAAGTCCAGATCTGTAATTTTATTATGATTTATTTAAAATATATTGTTTAAAGAGGATGGTTCCACGACATGTTTAAATCGTCAATACAACTAACAGTATTTGTTTAGTCTATTGGCAAATATACGTCGACAATGACCCAAGCAGTTTGTTTGAACGCTATTGAACCTTGAACGTTTAAAATGTTATGCGCTAATAAGGCATATCCATACGTTTCCAACGGTATTTTATTTAAACGTTATAATATAATCTTACTAATATTATAAATGCGAATGTTTAGATGAATGGATGTTTGTTTGAAGGTATCTCCAGAACGTCTAAACGGAGCTCGATAAATTTGACATACATATAAAACTATCTAGAATATAGAAGAACGCATAGACCACAAATAAAGTCATTTTTTATTTCCGCGAGGACGGAGTCGCAGGCGTCAGCTAGTAATTTCAATATTTTATAAACGTACAAACAAACATATCGTTGTCTCTGTTCTTTCAAAGAGTATAAGTGAGATGTGTACAAGTATTTCGGCAGTATAAACTTATTTTTAGGTTAAGTAATTAAAAGATTCTTTAAAAGAAAATGGAGAAGATTAGATAAATAAAATGAAAAAAAAAATTAACATAATAAAAAGAAGACAAAAAATTTAGTCTGTAAAAAAAACAAAATAAAATTGTAAAATGCACGAATGTATGATATTGAATCAGGTGACTTTTTCAAAGGCTTTGATGGATCATTTGTATGTTAATTTTGACCTCCTTTAGAGAGGTCAAAATTCTGATCTCATGTTAATTCTTCAACATTTAAAAAAGTAATAAGTAAAAATTATTGGCAATGTGTAATATTTGAGATGTAAAAATAAAAAGGGTTGTTTTTATAACTTTTATATCCAAAAAAGCATTAAAGAACTGAAAGATTATTTAGTTGATTGTATTATTAAGTCAATCAACCAGACCGTAGTTATTTCTTTATCTTTTAAGAATATTATTTTTCAGATTAACGAAAAACATTCTAATGAACAAAACTGATAGTAAAATAGCATAGGGATTGTGATGCTAAAAACATTACTACTGTAATAATTTAATTTACAAAACGTGACTCCCTACCATACCTATCATATTAAACGTTGATTTCCGAGACCAATATCTCTGTATAATGTCATCTCTCTCACTATATTTGAGAAAACGGAGATACAAATATGTTTTTAACGACGATTTCGGTCGCAGAAACTCATGGTAAGACGAGTAAAGGATAATTTACATTTAATTGAATATCGTTCATACTTTTACGACCGTGTTATTATCAGATCAATTGTTGCTGTTTTATAGCGAAAGATAGTGAACGAGGTAGTATAATAATAACGTAGGCAAAGCAATGACTAATACTATTCGTGTTCCAGCAGTGGAAACCCACAGGGAACAACTAACAGTGGTAGACGATCGATAGCAGTAAGAACATGTGTTGCACGAATATATCGGCTCGCCCTATGCAAGACCATAATAAAGACAGTAGTGAATGGGAAGTAATTCCACGTACAGTCTGATGAAAGTGGGTACTGAAGGCTTAATTTTAGTTCTCTTTCCCTTCCGACCTTATTTTATACGATAATTATGGGTAAGGGTCATGGATTTTGACAAACGAGGGGTAATGTTATCTGCCTTGGCGTCCCTTCCTTTGTCGATTAAAGGTAGGCATCTGCAGTTGCGGATGTCTATGGATCGCGGTCGATTCGCTATTTCGGCGAATTATTATTAGTATCCGATTGCTACGTTGTCATCGAATACAAAAAGTGTGAATTTTATTTTAACGATTTCTAATTAAGTAATTGCGTGTCTACGTGTTCTCAATAGACGTATGCAGCTATAAAATGTTGGTGAGTACATCTTCGCCCGCGGAGACAACGGATTAATGATTAGGGTAAAGAAAATGGTCCTCTCTCGTATGTAATTTGTTTCACATCTTCTGTGTTGTGATCGCTCGAGGCGCGGGGAAATGTTTTCTTTTCTTAAATGTACCGAGTTACTGGCAAAGTACCTTTGAAGTACCAATCCTGTGTTAAACATAGCACCATAGTAAAATTAACTCTGTACAAAAGATACAAAATCTAAATTTGCTTAACGTTGTAATTATTACAATTCTTACTTTTATTTGTTAATAATCTAAGTTGTTAGACGAAAATGAAGTTTATACGTTTATAATAAGGGTTATTTTTGTGCTCAGTGAAGTTTGGATAGTAAATTCTCTGTACATCCTAGAGCAGCTATATGTCAGAGAGCCTATTATTTACATACATTTTAACACACTGACATCACCAACAATATTTGATATGACAGTATTCGACTTCTAAGAAATTAACTTACATTATAAAATAATAATGACCGAACAGAATAAACCATTGATAAGTCAATTAATTTTCTTTATTATAGTTTTATTAAGTTAAAAATCGCGTGTTTTAAATATCTATGTGTAGAATAATATGCATGTCCGCGGCAAGAAACGGATCTTTTATTGCGTGTACATGTGTTTCGATTTCACAGCCTTAATTATACATATCGTTAGGTTCATCCGAACCCACTGACCTCGTGAGACAATTGTATTGCTATGACTAATGCTAAGAATTTATTGCTATATATGTTCCAAATTACTCTTTTGTTTAACGGTACAAAAACAAAACTGTAACAATCAATTCTTACTGATATCAGCTCTGAGAGACTCCCTTAAACGACTATGAGTAATATTATTAATAATAATAACACTTTATTGTACATTTAACAAATCTGTTTCATTATAACCTTGGATCCTTAACTAGGTTTCCCTTTATTAAAGGAGCCAATGACTTCCTCTAAGTTAAATTGTGTAAGTACAATTATTATAAGTTGAGTAATAATTTTATAATCTAGAGAACAAACAATAGTAACTAGAAATTATATATAAAAAAACTAAATAAAAAAAGAGTGTAGTAACAGAAACTTTGTTGTCTTGATCTGTTCTTGTAAAATAGAAAAATATAATATAATATATATGTTCTACTAGGTAGGCTCTAATAATGCCCTTGAAAATATTGTAGAATTAAGCTCAATAAAGAGTTATTATGCATACATAAGTATGCACAATCTGAAGATACGTGTTTTTGCAATAAAATAACTAATATATCGTTAAATCTACGTCTACAATAACAGCTGTTTTTTTTAAAATATATGTCTTACCTTTAGCAGACACCATGTGCAGCAAGCCGAAACAAAACACAAATTTTAGAAGCACCATTTTGAATATTTTTATTATCACTTCACTGAAATCTTTCGCTTCACCTGAAACAAAAACATAAATTATTATAAGTAATTAAAAGACTCTATTAAATGTTTTGTTTAACATTAAGAGACCTTTCGATTGTGAACTGTAATCCATGTTATATTACAAGAAGACGTATATAACATTCTTAATAAATGTCAGATAGTAAATGTTATTGATTAATGAAGGTATGTCAAGAAAACTTTCTTCCATCGACAGAAAAGTCTAATAAAAGATAACAATTCTTTTTTAGATAAACAATTAACTAGACTGTTTTTAAAAACAAATTAAATACAGACAATAAATACGAGTTTATTTAACGTAAATAAATAATAGCACATTTATTAAAAACAAAAATGTTGCCAGCATTAAAATATTTTAATTTATTTTAACATTATGTTTTAAAAAGCAAAACACCTTCGTTTGTTTTTTAACAAATTGTAATGTCAAGTGAAAGGATTCTGTATTTTATCTGAATTATAATAATATCTATGCCTAAAGTTTGTCATACATCACTAAGAGACATAAAATTGTTCATTACTCATTACCCCAAAGCGTTACGACTCTACAAACAAAATAATAATTTATGTTTGAATCTTTACGCTAAATGTTTCAAAGGAAAGTGACACTTAAAATGAATGGAACAAGGAATAAATACGTATACAATTCATAGAATAAAATCTGGTGTAGACAAACACTTAAATTTTAACGGTCAATTTGCTTTTATAAAGTCCATTGTACTACGTACTTTGAAGAAAATTATATCTCTTAATTTACCTAATTTTCTTTCATTTAATGCGGACAGTCGGTTAACGGTTTTTTTTGTTTCATATATTATATCTTACTAATATTATAAATTAGAATGTTTAGATGGACGGATGGATTTTCGTTTTAAGGTATCTCCGGAACGGCTAAATGAATCTTGATCAAACTTTGTATACATATATGCTATATTATGTATGTATACACGCGGAAGGATTCGCGAGCGTCAGCTAGTTTAATTTATAAATACTGAAATAAAAAAACAAGTAAATGTTTATTTTTTTCACTATTAAAAACCGAGTAATAAAATTACTCGCATCATGATATTCATTTTTCGAAAACATGGCACATTAAAAAGAAAACATCCCATTCGTAGAAAAAAAAACAAAATGGCGGTATTAACGTAACCATTTCGATCGTCTACTGTATTATTTATAGAATCATAAAGTTACTTTACAATCACGATTCAAACGACTGTTGTCATTGACAGAAAAATGTTGGTATGTTTAAAAAAAAAAAACAATTAACTTGGTAGAGTCTATGAACGAATGGCACGTTGTAAAACGGCTATAAACGGTCCGGCGGCTGCCTTTCGGACCGTGTCCAGTTCGAATCCAGAGTTATTAATTTAATTAATTACCGTAAATAGCTTAGGGTGCTCGCATACGTAGCTGTAAGTTATTAATGCTTGTTGCGATTTTATTGCCCACGTTGCAATTTAAAAATATACTTAGACTCTAATTGATTTAAGTGTCCTATCATTTTTCTATCGTTATACAGTCTCCATTATACGCCTCTTCAACGTAAAATATTGAAAAAATGGTGTTTCTTATGCCCTCTTTTTAACCTGTGTGGGTAGTTGTAATAAATAAGCAATTCAATTAGTAAGGAAATAATATAACAAATCAAACGGTCCTCATCATTATCTCCTTGTCCTTATTCCACTCACGTGACGTGGTGCACCAGGTCTTCCTTAACAAGATCGGCCTATTATCCTTGATTTCAGTTTAAAAGAATCACTTCTTAATCAAGATCTTTCATCACCATCATCAGCTCACTATACCTACCTACTGAGTAGTTCGGAGCCTACCCTTAGTTAGGAGTGACTAGGCCATAGTCAACCATGTTGGCTCAGTGCAGGTTGGTTGACTTCACACATATCTTTGACCTTTCATGCAATCTTTCTATTCCTAGGCCTAGATTCCTTATATTTAAAGATCTTGTCACATGCAACTTTTACCTTCTCATAACATTTCAAATGTGACGGTAGTTTGTATAAATTATGTAAGAGATCGCAGTCCTGTGGTATAATAACCATAAATTCCCTTCAATGTGGTAATGCAATTTATCTTCCTAGTGTTACATGTCATAAGGAAGTATCTTTCAATCTGCAAAGCTGCACATTACTTTTCTAATCTTCAGTTTTATAGAGAAGATGACACATAATTTAGTTAACGTTTACAACTCAAATGTCATGAGTACGGATGACACGTAGTCATTAGTATGGATCGCAACTTGATATGTTACATCAGTAGAATTTGTTTGCTTTTGCTATGGAAAATTAATTGCCATTAAAAATATGAAAATGTTTTCAGTATTCATGTTTAATTCGAATTGGATTAATAATAACGCCAACAAAATTTATTTGAAAACCGAGCAATTATACACTTTTTCTTTTGATTTTACTTTTAAATTAAATCAAAATGGAACATTTTTGGAATATTTCGAAAATTTTTGCATCCTACAAAGTTTCTTTAAACAAAATAAACAAAGCTATGAAAAATAATGCACCTGAAAAGTAAAATACCAAACTTGGCATTGATATAAAAACACTCTAAGAATAAAAAATATATAATATTATAAAATTAACCATTAATGCACGCTAATTGTTATTACGCTATTGAAGAGATGTGCATTTCTAGATTGCGCTTTGGGTGGTCAAATCGCTAAAAGCGATCTTTATAGACGTTCTTTAGATGGAAAAACGGTAAAAATTATTTCAACCTAAAACCTACTAGCCCTTAATATAGTGTTATGTATATGAAGCTTTACTTTATTCCTTTAGTTTATGTTTACTCTAAAATTTACTTCAATTTTAATTCAGGCATATAAAACGGACGTGTATAAATTTATTTCATAATTTATACAGGATGTTTTCTTTTAATCAAATACATCGTTAACAAATAAAACATCAATTAAATTCGTCACCTTTCGATCGTTGATATTTTCAACATGTTTACATTGTTAACGAATGTAAAATATAGCTTTTATTTTGATTTTATTTATCCACATAAATAAACACACATTTAATTGCGAACATTCTGAACGTTCCTGATTACATCTATGACTTTGAATTTAGATTTATACTAAATGTAGAGAATAAATCTTACGAATATTATAAATACGAACCTTTAAATGGATGGATGTTTGTTAAAAGCTTAGTAATCATTGTCTGAAATAACACATATGCTACTGATTAAGTTTTTTTTAATTCCTCGCGGAGCAGCGTGCGACAGTTACGTAAAAAAAATATTTTCTTAATATTCGGCTGTAGCGTGAAATGTCTGTAATTCTTTTTAATGATAGCTTAATAAAGCAGGTAAGAAAAGAGTGTGAAAAATAACAGCCAAGTAAACGATAATGGGTCTGCTGAACGCAGTTTACCTCGACAGGACATTTTAACTACGCTCGTAACAACGTTAGGGCTATTCGAAGAGAATAATTATTACCCTTTCTCTCGACCTTTATGTGTTTAATAAAGCAGTAATTAAAGTTACTCTTAGTTTAGTTGTTACTGTGTAATATAACAGATAAATAAAAGTTTAGTAATTAGCTACCGATCTGTAGGTCTATAGTTTGAATACAGGCTGGTTTGTAATTTTATAAATAAACCAGCTGTACACGACTCCGTCTTTGCGGTATGAAAAAAAAACTTAGTAGTCTATGTGTTCTTCCAGTCTATTTCTACAACTGTGCCAAATTTTATGGAGATACGATGAGCCGCTCTTGACATTCCTTCAAACATCCATCCATTTAAACATTCGCATTTATAATATTAGTAAGAGGGTTTTGATTGTCGTGTATGTTGTGTTGATATATAGTGTTCTCTCTCTTTTTTTAAACAGAATGTGTGAGATGTCAATATGTGTTAATATAAATGTAACTAGTCAAAGCATAGTTATTGCTAAAAGAGTTCTATGATGGAACTTACTTATTGTGAAGTTCCTAGCATCACATCTCAAACAACTGTATTTTTGTGTCTCTTAAATATTATGAATATAATTTTAATGTGTAAATAAATTTTGATTTATTATCATAAACATGTTTCTTAAAATTTAATCACAATTTAATGATAGATTATAAAAGTTAAACAACGGTATTAGCGGAGCTACCGGAATATTATTCCTAGTGGAAAATAAATTTACTACCCAAGTTCATTATCCCCGTACACCAATGATGACTTGGACTTTAACCTCACTTCATTCTGAAGCCAGAAGTCATATAAACAACCAGATGATAGTGTATTAAACATATAAAAGTATTAGTCATAGTAAACACTGCACAAACTCTTGTTATAGTGTCCACTATGGTAGTCAAATGATTGACTTCGGTTCCCACTTTTCAACCCCATGGGCGTCTGCTGGATATACTTAAGCTTCTTCCATTCAAGATCATAATGCTCGATTCTCTGACTTCATCTAGTGGACAGCTAGCTTTGACCAGATTATTCAATCTTACTTTTTACTAATATTAAATATGCGAATGTTTTATGGATGGATGTTTGTTTGAAGATATGTCGAGAACGGCTGTATGGATCTCGCTGAAATTTGTCATATATGTAGAACATAGTCTAGAAGAACACATAGGCTACTAATAAAGTTTTTATTTATTACCGCGCGGACGGAGTCGAGGGCGTCAGCTTGTTACATATACTAACCGTCATTCAGGTAAGGTAAAAAATCTCCGTTTTTTACTTTTGTTGAAATCGACACGGACAATAATTTGAGTTAGATTTTTTCACGTATAGTTAGATCTAAACTCGTTAAACTTCCGTTTTTGGTGTTTTAACGAAATCAATATTAAAAGTTTATAGTATCTGTACATAGATGGCGTTGTCACAATATCGAACCAAGTGGTCAATATTTATATGTCAACAATTTGTACACAGTTCGTGATTTCAACATTCTGCGCACAGTGCAGCGCAGTTCAAAACGACCTTGCGACTCACTCGCATGAATAGCCGACTTGAATAACTAATAAAAATTGCAGTTTTAAAATAAAGCTACAATAAAAAATAAACTTTGAGGGAAAAAATTCTATTCGTTCAGGATCCCGTAATCGGCTTACGTCTTTTCAACAACGCTGAGACTCGCTCCTAATAAGGGCTTTCTGCTAACAAAGTTTTCCTTTGCTTATAAACTCTATTCATACACAATTAATTATAAATCGGTATCTTAGCAGATGTTTGTAGTTGTTTTACAACTAAGATAAGCTATCGCCATCTCCAGTTAAGGCAACTATCATCATCATCATCATCATCATCATCATAATCAGCCTAGAATTATCCACTGCTGGATGTAGGCCTCCCCCATCGATTGCCACAATGCCCGGTCCTGTGCCGCCCGCATTCAGGGCACTCCCGCACGCTTGACCAGGTACGGCAACTTTAGTAAAATTAAATGTCTTTAGCAAAACATCTTCAAAATCTTGCCAATCCCATGAAGTAAGTTTTTATGCTTTCTCAATTTGTACATATGATATTTAAAACGTAATAAACAGTCAATAACTTACAAGATAAAATGTTTCATTTCATTAGTTAAATATCAAAGAACATGAGTTTTTAAGTTACGTGGCGCCGTTATTATAATCCGAACATATTTTTAATGAGCAACAACCATAATCTACTCGTAGATATTGGAATGGGCGATAAATGAAGTTGTAAATGTTGTATTATGATAATTAGGTAATCTTAAAGTTACATTAACGTATCGTAAGTTAGACGACTCTACAAAGGTAAAAAAAAACATTTTTCTTATTTTTATTTACATAACAGATAAGTTCGCCCTAAAATCCGACACTGTGCCGGTGTACTGGCGCAACACTAGCTTTAGTAAAATATCGACATTTATGTTCCATCACTAATCATTCTGACACTTGTCTTTATACTGAAAAGCGCACTATTCGCGTCGAAGGATTATAACTAATATTTTCTAAAAATACCAACACTATATGCAAGATAATAGGATCTAGAATGATTTTAAAAAGAAAAAACTAACTAAGCAGAGTACAGAGTTTTGTATTTATAACTAGCTGTTGCTTACGATTCCTTCCGTGCTTGTTGACTATGTTCTACGTGGATGCCAAATTTCAGCGAGATCTATCCGGCCTTTCTGGAGATACCTTATAACAAACATCCAGCTATTTATCCTAACATTCGCATTTATAATATTAATAGCTGTCGCCTGTAACTCCGTCTGCGCGGGATTAAAAATAGATGTTGGCCGATTCTCAGACCTACTCAATATGCTCACAAAATTTCATGAGAATCGGTCAAGCCGTTACGGAGGAGTATGGCAACGAAAATTGTGACACGAGAATTTTATATTTAAGAAATAATAACATCAAGTTCTACATTTAGATAGTGTATCTTTTTATATATTTATCTAAATTAACATGATTGTATTTAAATTGTTTTGTTACTTCTTGATGATACTTTGTAACTAAATAAATTGACTATATTAAATATAAGTTAGGCTAAAAATTGATAAAAAACGTAAAGCATGATTCATGGACTGTGTTTAATATTTTTTAGTATACTTTTTATTGGTTAAAGATAAATGGCGGATGATGGCTTAGGTCAAGTAATGGATTTATAACGACTGCAAACTATTACAATTATCAAATTTAGATAATATTGCAAACTTCTTATAACAATATTATATTTGAGTGATTTAAAAGTCCGTCTGTCTTCCCTATATATTTCATGAAAAGATCGAATGACGCGAACTTCAAAATCTCTCAACTACGCACTCATGCAGGATAAATAATGACGTCATCAAAATTAATTTTATGACAATAAAAAGGAAATTGTTTATTATAAAGGATGCATCAAATGACATAAATGTCATCATATAAAATGATAAGTTTTAGTAATAAGTATTAAATATATAAGAAAATGGAGAGGAAGTTAAAACAGGTTGTAATGCAACGCACATGTGCAAGCGATGACATCACTCGTATCGAAAAAATCCTTAAATACGGAGAGACGTACCTTGGACCTAACGACTGTGTTTCACTTTTATACTTAAACATAACTTAGATGTAATTTAAATCATTTTGTTAACGAAATTAACTTTAACTTTAATCTTATAATAATAAAACTTAAAAAGTATTTAAATATTATTTAATTTAAATAAAACAAAAAGAAAAAAAAGTTATTTTTAACTTTAACTTAATGTATGTATAAAAAATACAAAGTGAAATATCTGTCCGGTATGACAAATCTAAGTTAACAAGGACATAAAATATGATGACATAATTCAGTCGGCAAAACATATTTAGATAACTCCAAAGGTGGTATGAGATAAGCATTTATTAAGTAAGAAAAACATAATAAAAAAGAACTTACCGTATAATAAGTCCTATTTCATTGGCTAATAATACGAAAAACCGTGTGCTTAAGTCCTTGTGTAAAGATATAGTACAACTGGATAAATATATGTGCCGTATTTATATCTTATATTGTACTAATAAACGATTATTTCAGTTATTTCGTATCGCGTATTCGTTTAATACTTTGTTTAACTTAGATATTTTATGTTATGCGCGTGCGCACTACCATCGCGCGGACGGTTGTCGGAGCGACTGACTGGGCGCAGCCTTGTCTTGAATACCTGATGATTGATAAAGTTACGTTTACAATGGACATTTTATATCGATACTAAATATTAAATATTTTGCTGTAAAACTTCAACGTATATTTTTTAATAAAACATTATAAATTTGCACGAATCTGTGTCAAACAAAATATTGTAATTTTAAATGAAAAATATATTGGTATTAATGTACATACAGTTAGCTAGGTACTTTTTTAAATGCTAAACGGAAAACAATTTTAAATAAAAAGTGTGTATGGAAGACTATTTGTCTTATATTGATGCTTGCCTCGTGTTAATGGATTTATTTGAATTATAAAGAATAATCTTTTTCAGACTGCAGAAGAACTAAAAAACTCAAAGGCACAAAAGATTGGTACAGTAAGGAATTTAGTATGCAAAGATACAGACATGGAAAAAAGGAATGGATTCGTCGCATGGAACTTATGAAGCAAGGTGATTATTTGAACAATTTTAATACTTTTCCTGTTTATTGAATGTTTTTGTTAAATGCTAAATAATTTCGCCACAAGTAATACGCTAAAAGTAACATTGTAAACTTAGCTAATATAATAAAGGTTATATGTCGCGGAGGTCAAGGTTAAATACATGATTTCTCAAGGTTAAGTATGCCTCGTAAAACTAATCTTCTAAGTTATGTTTAAAATGTTCACAAAATACTACAATCCATAACAAGATTGTAAAAATAATCTTGTATTTATTGCGTGGTTTATAAAGATTACATAAATAATTTATTATTCAAAAACATTTACCTAACATTTGAAGAATTAAAAACTTAAGTATATTTATGTAAGAGTTTTGTTGAATTTTAATTTTTTTTTTACAATTTTGTGGCCACTTATAAAGTTTCATTTTTAAAGCTTTGCTTAAACAGATAAAGGCTACTTTTGATACTCCTTTCATGTCTTAGGCACTTAATATTTTTGATGATAACATTTTTAACGACAATATTTTAAATAGGTATTACTTTCTACAAAATAGAAAACGAAATATTTATTTATTGTGAACATATCGATTAAAATCGAAGTAATACATATCGTAGCTATTGTGAACGTACCTTTATGTCACCCAAGCTATACCTTGCGAACTGAGAACCGTCGAAGGCTGCACTAACTCCTGCACAATAAGGTATAAAGCCTTAAACATAATACAATGCCTACGACTACTTTAAAAATGCATTGTTATAACAGACTTGTTTCAATTGCGTTGTTGATGAATTTATAAGAAAATCCTTAAAAATTAAATTATAACTGAACTTTGAAAGTAATAAGCGAAGAAAGCGAAAAGGTACTTAATTTTTGTAACGCATTTTATATTCTTCCTAACACTTCCGATTTAAAAAAAAACGGACCACCAGCAGTGGACTCACGCGGTAACACAAATAAAAATGGGAGACGAATTGATAACCTTATTTTTGGAGTCGGCTAAGAAAACTTAACTTACTTTAAACTTGAATTCAGAATGTATTACTCTAGATGTATTTTTTTAAACTTAACATTACCAATTAAAAGTCTGGTTCACTTGTTTTAAATAATTTTTTAATTTGGATAAAACAATTGTGTTCTTAATATAATAATGATGATGACACTTCTTGAAATATATATCTTTGTTATTTCTCAATATCAATATAGACGTTTTTTCTTCGTAACAAGGAATTCATGTTTACACAAATGATTAGATCTAACCGGGTAATATAATTTGTTTCCTTGTATTACGTAGCAAGAAGGAGAGATATTGAATTGAGATGATTGTTATCCATCAAAGGTATCAATTCCTTCGGGCTAGCTTCTAGGAAGGTAATACTGTGGTTAGAAACATAATATTACGTGTAATTTATAACTTAAAAAAATGTACAGCAAAAAAACAAAAGAAATCGGAACAAAATATAAAAGTAACACTGGTTAAAAATACTTCTATTATTAACTAGCTGTTCAACAGAACACGTCCGGGCTGAATTTAAAAACTTAATTAGTAGCTTATGCGTTCTTCCAAATTTTGTTCTACATATATGACAAATTTCAGCGATATTCATGCAGCCGTTCTGCAGACTGACATACATCGATCCATCCATCTATTATAACATTCGTATTTATAATATTAGTAAAATTGTGGTGTTATATTATATAAGCCAATGGGACACCTCAATCGTCTTCTACAATTAAAATCAATACGCTCTGAATAATCTATATCTATACTTATACAGTTCTGTAGCCATTGATGAGACTCGAGATAAAATCGGCGGAGAAATACAAACAGAGGTGGCGGGAATTCTAGCTGTCACCGTTAATAAGATGTGTCCATTGGTTGACACTTCTAAGTTTATCTAAGCTAATCTAAGTATGGATTAAGTTATTAATTTGAAAAAATGGTAATTGTAAAAGCGTTTTAAAATTTACTTCTTTATTGAGATTTTTAGTGGCCAATAACAGTCTAATTTACCTTATAGGCTATTTAATAACAGACAATATTTAAATAAAATATTATTTGTCGTTTCTCTACAGATTAAAAACTAAAATTATATACTAATATAACTGTAATTCTATTACAAATTGTAAAATAAATATAAGAAATAAAATAAACTGTAAAAACATCTGAACAGTATTTATTTAAAGACGATAGTTACATGATTATTAATTTTTATTATCAAACGTTAACATGATTTGGGTTTAAAGCAAGTCATGCAGTATAATAGGTCAACAATATATTTTAAGTATGTTTTATTGATGTACAATCAATTGTTAATCATGAACTTAGAAAGTATATGTTAGAAACATTGTCTCAGACAAATAGTATAACTTAAATAAAAAAAATTGTTCCTGATGAGTGACATGAATTATTTATTAACTAGCTGTCAACCGCGACTCCGGCCGCGCGGAATTAAAATAAAACTTAATTAGTAGCTTATGTAGTCTTCCATGTTTTTCTATATCTATGAAAAATTTCAGCGAGATCCATTCAGTCCTTCTGGAGATACCTTCAAACAAACATCTATTCATCCATTCATCCATCTAAACATTCTCATTAATAATATTAGTAACATGTCGTGTAATTTTCGTATTCAACCAAAAAACTCATAGCTAAAATGGCTTGTCTTACTAATATTATATTATAAATGCGAATGTTTAGATGTATTGACGGAAGAATGTTTGTTAGAAGGTATCTGCAGAACGGCTGGATGGATCTCGCTATAATTTGCATGGATGTAACACATAGGATACTAATTAATTTTTTTTTATTTCCCCGCGGAAGGAGTCTCGGGCGACAGCTATTTAAAATATATTTCTTCCGTCAAAGAATTACATTAAAATCAACTGTAAATCCGTCGGAGTTTGCGACGTGGGATGGAAGTCGGAGCTTAATTAGCGTCAAAGCATGTGCGTGCTGGCTATCGCAATCGCGCACTATATTTAGAAATGTATAACACGCTAACGACTTTTTCTCAGAACTTATGCCGACTTTTATTGGAATACACCCACAAGGTCAAGTTGGCGATTTTTATTTTATTATGATTCATTTTTGAAGGTATGTACCGCGAGGAGTGACACTTGTGTCACTAAATAACCGCTCAATATGTCAGTTTAACACAAAGAATATAGCTATGGACGATAGTAATATGACTGAGGTTAGGTTATTAAGTACTATCGGGGAAACTGGTGGTATTCAATCATAACAGACCAAGGACTTTTTTGAAAAAGTTGAACCACGAAGTGCCCTGACTGTACATCAACTGTCGTACTCAGTCACTTATTACCAAATATCTTTAGTGTAAAGGTTTCTTAACTTAGCAATTAAATAACTCGAAGTTGCTGCCACACTACGTATAAGACACACTTCATGTTTTAGAACAATATTTATATGTCTGCAGTCGTTCAGTCAAGAAACATAACATAATAGGTGGCGTTCGAAAATCAAGAGGGTTTTATAAGTGAGACGTGTTTGCATTTTATGAGGTTTTCGCGTGACTAAGTCCAGACGCGCGTCGTAGCATTTCGCCATTGAATGCACTTCGTAATTATATAAAAGGAACAAAACTCTATTTAATTCATTAAAGAATACGTCATTCGCTTGTTTATTTAACATAAAAAAAAACATTTTTACCGTTCCGAATTTAAATATAATAAAATTGTGTACGCAAATATTTAAACCTGTTTTGTTATAATTTTGATATAATTGACGTCGCGGTGGTCTAACGATTTATTACTAGACTAGATCTCGCCCGTGACTTTGTCCACACGGAATTAAAAAAAACTTAATAAGTAGAACTCCAGACTATGTTCCGCATCTTTACCAAATTTCGTAAAGATCCGCTCAGCCGATCCGTTGATACCTTCAAACAAACATCCATCCATCCATATAAACATTCCCATTTATAAAATTAGTAAGGAGTAAAAAGTAAGATTTAGACAAAAATAAAATAATAATTAATAAACTAATAGAAAAGCTAATTGTTAAATTATTTTTAATCGGTTCAGTAACTTTTACCTTAATTCAGATTAAACAATATAACGTTTTATACTTTCTTTTTATCAATGCTAGTATAAAATAAACAATTTTGATGTCTACTAAATATAGCGATGGGAACGATTCTCAAGACGTATTACAGTTTTTGTTTAATTAAAAAAACTTGTATCAAATCCAGTTGAAAGTCCGGATCGAATCGGGACTTTTTATAACTACAGCTATATTATTGAGCATATGTGAGTTTGTCCGTCGGTTACATCCTAAAAACCTGTCCCGGTCAACGAACCCAGCCGAAAGTCGTTCGAACTGCATACACACTACTAATTATAATATAATATAGAGTTGTAATTTAACGGCGCATAATTCGATGGTATTTTTAGAGGTCCGCAATACATTTTAAGTTTCCAAAGGTTCTTTTACATGACAACATTTTAAAATGGGTTCTTTCTAACAAAGTTTTTATTACAAAATTACAATAACATTTTTTTTTAATTAAAATTGTTTATT